TAACACTCTGAAATAAAAAATAAAATAAAATTAAAAACAGTTTGGAAATGTGGGAAACATCTGGCAGAGAAATACTCCAGCATTTGCAGCGATGGAAGAAAAATTTTTCTCCAAAGTAAGCAGATTGTTGGCTTCTTTATCGGCATCATCGGAAAATACGTGCCTATTTTTGTTGGTTTGCTTAGGAACTGGGAACATCTGGTGTTGGGAACATAGAACGTTGTTCATTTTAAAGTAGAGTCGTAATAACTTCGGGAGTTGGGAGTAAGAGAGAAAATGCCGTAGGAACATGAAGGCAGTCTGGAGAAAGGAGAGGCTCGCTCGTGCCTCTTTTGAAACACAGATTTCCTTGATTCTTCAATAGTATTACTTAAGGGGAAGCTTCCTAGAATGTCCTCAGTTTGTGTTGTTTCTGAATAAGCCGACTCGGAAAGCAGCAGGGCCAAAAAAAAAAGTGCGTATCTGGCTCCGCCTAGTTTAGGTTCATCCCAGCCCTGAAAGTTGTGGCCGCAGGACAGGCTTTGTCTGCTCTTAGAGCGTCGTTCCGATCCCTTTAAAGGTGGGGATCATGACGGAGTGTGCGGGGGAAGAAGGCGGGAGAGGAGGGCTGGAGAGTCTCGGTTGACATAGTAACTTCAGCTCGTCTCCTGCTCTCCGCCCTTAGGCTTCGCTGCCACACGCGGCCCCTCCTGTGCTCTCGCTGCCCCGGCCGCATCCTCGCGGGGTCCCGTCAGCCTGATGCTCTCAGGTCAAGGTCCGCTTTGCTCCCCGCCAGGTGGTGACTACTCCCCGAGTGAGCGCGGCAGCCACTCGCGGAGCCCGGACCGCCGGGCGTCTACGCCCCCTGCCTCCCCCTGGTCCCCTGGGCATCGGTCTGCCTAGGACCACTTCCGCGGAGGACGCGGCCCCTCCGCACCAGGTCCCGCTAGGACTGCGGGCGCGCCTCCCGCGGCGGCGGGGCCCAGGCCAGTCGGACGTTCCCGCCATGAACCAGAGCCCGGCGTTCGGGCCCCGGAGGGGCGGCTCTCCCCCGGCTGCCGCCAGAGCCGGCGCGCGGCGCAACGAGAGCCAGGACTACCTGCTCATGGACTCGGAGCTGGGAGACGACGGCTGCCCGCAGCCCCAGCTGCCTCCCTACGGCTACTACCCCGGCTTGTGAGTGCGGGCGGCGCGGGCGGCGCGGGCGCGGGCTGCGCCGGGGAGGCTGTGCGCTCGCGGGACCTGCGCGAACCCGCGGGCTTGCCTGCGAGGGCCCGCGCTGCTGGTTCTGCGCGAGCCAGGGCTGGGACCCGAGGGAGCAGAGGGGTGCGCGCGGGGCGAAGTTTGCTCCTGGTTGAGCACGCATGGGTATGTTTGCCCCAGAGAGTGAGACGGGGGAGCACCATCCCCGGGACAGGCGATCAGATAGCTGGGCAATTTCTTCAGCCCGCGGCACCCTGCGCCCCCAGTAGACTCGGTATCACTGCACGAAAGGCGTGATCTGAACAGGGGGGCTGATTCAAATGTGCGCCCTCGTGACGCTTAGCCTACGTGGAAGAATGACTCGAAGTCCAGGGGTCCTTGGAGCCGCCTCGGTGCGTGCGGGGAAACTCGGGAGCCCGCGTGCCCGACGGTCTCCACGCTCTGCCTGCCTGACGCTTCAGGCGGAGCGCACGCGGGCCTGAACGAACTGCGGAAGGTTTGAAGGTGTGCAAGGGAGTGGGTGGACCTGCCCCCCGGGACATCCCGTCCCTGTACTCAGGCCTTGGGGCTAAGACAGGGAAATAGAACCAATCCACTTTTCACCAGACATGGGGGAGACAGGCCTTTTAGGGGTGCGGGTCGGGAGCCTCGCGAACTGTAGAAGTGAGGGCGTCGGGGTCGTTCGTAGTGGCCTCTAAGGCGGAACCTTGACTTGAGAGAAGGTGGGGTATTTTGAAGGGAATTGAGGAGAAGTAGGGAGTAAACAGACAGCGGAATCGAGGAGTCTCCCCTCCCTCATACCCCTGTGACATGTGCAGCTGGCGCATAGTATTTCTAATCCTTTGCCCCTTTACTTGATCGGGTAGCCAAGTTTCCTGACCTGTCACATCCATCACAAGCGGTTTCTCAAGCTTCTCAGTTTTATGAGCAGCTCTGGGTGGAGGGAGGGCTCTGGCCCGCAGGCACCTGGCAGACTCACCGGAGGGATGGGTGCGCCTTTGGGCCGCTAGTCAGGGCTACCCAGAGTCAGGCCTGCTGTGCTTCCCTTTCGCAGGAAGAGGTGAACCCCAGGAAATGGTGCAGGTAATTTTTCTCAAAGATAGAGAAAAAAGTTGGAACTGTTCCATTCATCTATGTGCCATTCAAGTTGAAAGCATTTATAACTTATCTTTTTTTTTACTTTAAAAAAAATTAAGATACAATTCACATACCATAAAATTCACCTACTTAAGTTGTTCAAGGCAATGTTGTTCAATATGTCCATAAAGTTGTGCAAACATTACCAATATCTGAGGACATTTTCATCATCAACCAAAGAAATCTTTTCTTGATATTAAATTGGAAAATAGTTCTATGTCTCATAGCACTATTTGAACTTTAATGTGTATATGAATCACCTGGAGATCTTGTTAAAATGCAGATTTTGATTTAGCAGATCTAAGTGCAGCCCAAGATTCTACCTTTCTGACAGTCTCTCAAATGATGTTGAGGTCCCTAGTCCAGGGACCACACTGAAAAGCAATGTGACATACGTCGAGAAAAAATAAGAATACAAAGAAAAATAAATCAATCCTGGATATTTCCAATGCAGCTATTTTAAAATTCACTTTGAAGATATATGTTTAAAACATAGATGGACTTTTTTGTTGGCTTAGATTTGAGGTCTACTAAGTCTGAAGGTTATAGCTTTGGCAACATTACCTGCTGGCTAAATTAAGTGACTTAAAAAGCTATACTGCTTTTTAAAATTTAGACTGTCCCATGAACAAAATCTTTTCCTTTTTATTCTATAAGCTCTGTACTATTTTGTAAGCTGTATACCTGTTACTGTGTCTGTGGGAAAATGATTTGATTTAAAAACTTGTGGTGATATATTAGTAATGACAGAGACTAAATAAAGTAATAATTCCAAGTTGTTCTGAAAACTTTCCCCAATGCTTTCTTCAAATGTGGCTTTACTGCCTAATTGATTTATCTAACTCTTTACATTATCTACTATTTAGAGAATAAGTATTTTCTCCCTTAGTTCAGGAATCCTAGAGCACTCTTCCTGAATAGAACTGAGCAGCAGAAAGATGAACAGAAAGATGTGTGTTCATAATGTGCACCCTGTGTTACGTCGGTGGTACTATACTAAATTTAAGAGTGAGCCATGCTCCGGAAGTACAGTTTGGTCTTATCTGAATCTGTTATTTCCAAAAAGTTCTATAGTTACTTTTTCATTTTTTCATCCATTGTTTTCTCTGACAAGAGGTTTATGTTTTTCCAGTTGAATAATCAAGTAACCGAAAACTTTTAACCAATAAACAACAGTACTTCACATCTACACTGTATGAGAAAGAGCTAGAGAAAATTTCTTCTCTCTGGTAGAGAATACAAATAAGCTCTTCCATATGCTTTGGACTTGTGATTTATACAATTTCATATATTTTTTCAGAGTGGGAGATATTTGTGAAAGTAGCAATCACTAGTTCACTTTAGATATGGATATTGCCATTTTCTAAAGTCATTGAGATTTTCCTTTATAAGATCCCAGATCATTAAACTTAATAAGTTGTCATTTCTGTGGGATATATTCTATGACTCTGTTTCATAGTTCATTTATGTAGAAAGATTTTAAAATGTATTTTTGGGGCTTTTACTTAAAAATTGTAGTAAATTATCTTGCTTAAGAACAATTACATATTATTAGGCCTTAATAGTATAAGTAGTAACATTTTGAAATGGTGTTTAGAAGAAAATGTTTCAAGTTTTCTCATTTTACAATCAATTAATATACTCTATTATGATTAATTTTTAATGGTGATTAGCAAGAAAGATATATGTCCTGACAAGGTCTCAGGAAGCATATCAAAGTTCCTTTATTATGTCTCTAAACCATCACTTCTGAACATGGGTAAGAATCCCAGACTTAAGAAAAAAATTGTTAAGGGATTCTAAGGTCTCAAGATTTGAAACACAGTCCCACTAAACTTTCTTCTAGGATTAATTGGTTAATTATGAATAATAAAACCGTAAACTCTAAACTAAAGGACTGGCAATACAGCAGACTGA